GATTTTTGGGGTTTTTTGGTGTTTGAGGGGGGTTTTGGGGTTTGAAGGGGGTTCTGAGGGGTTTTTTGGGGGGGTTTGGGGGGTTTTAATGGGATTTGAGGGGTTTTATTGGGGGTTTTTGGGTTTTATTGGGATTTGGGGGATTTTATTGGGGTTTTTGTGGGTTTTATTGGGATTTCGGGGATTTTACTGGGATTTTTGTGGGTTTTATTGGGATTTGGAGGATTTTATTGGAATTTTGCTGGTCTCAGTGGGGATTTGGAGCATTTTAATAGGGTTTGGATGGGTTTTAGCGGGATTTTATTGTGGTTTGGGGGTGTTTTAATAGGATTTGGATGGGTTTTAGTGGGATTTTGGGGTGTTTTAATAGGGTTTGGATGGGTTTTATTGTGGTTTGGGGGTGTTTTAATAGGTTTGGATGGGTTTTAGTGGGATTTTGGGGTGTTTTAATAGGTTTTGGATGGGTTTTAGTGGGATTTTATTGTGGTTTGGGGGTGTTTTAATAGGATTTGGATGGGTTTTAGTGGGATTTTGGGGTGTTTTAATAGGTTTTGGATGGGTTTTAGTGTGCTTTGGGGTGTTTTAATAGGATTTGGATGTGTTTTAGCGGGATTTTGGGGTGTTTTAATAGGATTTGGATGGGTTATAGTGGGATTTTGGGGTGTTTTAATAGGATGTGGATGGGTTATAGTGGGATTTTGGGGTGTTTTGTCAGGATTTGGATGGGTTTCAGTGGGATTTTGGGGTGTTTTAATAGGATTTGGATGGGTTTTAGTGGGATTTTGGGGTGTTTTAATAGGATTTGGATGTGTTTTAGCGGGATTTTGGGGTGTTTTAATAGGATTTGGATGGGTTTCAGTGGGATTTTGGGGTGTTTTATCAGGATTTGTATGTGTTTTAGCGGGATTTTGGGGTGTTTTTGGGATTTTCGGGGGTGCTGAGGGTGTTTCCCCCCCAGAAGTGGCGCCCGTTCTGCCTGGCCTTCGAGGGGCTGGTGGAGGATTTCAATTTCGGGACGCTGCTGCGCCTGGACGCGCGCGGCGCCTACACGGAGGAGAACTCCATCCTGGGTGGGTTTGGGGCTTCGGGGGGTCCCCAAAACCCCCCGAGCCCCCCCGAGCCCGGCCCTGTGCCCGCAGTGCCCCGGATCCAGTTCCTGGCCATCGAGATCGCCCGCAACAGGGAGGGCTGCAACCAGGAGCTGCACCGGCGGCAGCGCCGAGCCCGCGAGGCCAGAGACCCTCCGGAGAGTCCCAGAAACTCAATAAAATCTGAAATTCCTCAATAAACCCTGCAGAGAGTCAGTGAATCCTACAGGAAACTCAATAAAATCTGAAATTCCTCAATAAACCCTGCAGAGAGTCAGTGAATCCACCAGAGAGTCAGTGAATCCTACAGGAAACTCAATAAAATCTGAAATTCCTCAATAAACCCTGCAGAGAGTCCCTGAATCCACCAGAGAGTCAGTGAATCCTACAGGAAACTCAATAAAATCCGAAATTCTTCAATAAACCCTGCAGAGAGTCCCTGAATCCTACAGGAAACTCAATAAAATCGGAAATTCGTCAATAAATCCTGCAGAGAGTCCCTGAATCCACCAGAGAGTCAGTGAATCCTACAGGAAATTCAATAAAATCCGAAATTCTTCAATAAACCCTGCAGAGAGTCAGTGAATCCTACAGGAAACTCAATAAAATCCGAAATTCTTCAATAAATCCTGCAGAGAGTCCCTGAATCCCAGGGAAACTCAATAAAATCGGAAATTCTTCAATAAACCCTGCAGAGAGTCAGTGAATCCTACAGGAAACTCAATAAAATCGGAAATTCTTCAATAAACCCTGCAGAGAGTCAGTGAATCCTACAGGAAACTCAATAAAATCGGAAATTCTTCAATAAATCCTGCAGAGAGTCCCTGAATCCCACAAGAAATTCAGGAAAATCCAAAATTCTTCAATAAATCCCACCAGAGAGTCAGTGAATCCACCAGAGAGTCAATAAATCCTACAGGAAATTCAATAAATCCTACAGAGATCAAATAAATCCCACAAGAGATTCAATAAATCCTACAGAAAGTCAATAAATCCTACAGAGAGCCAATAAATCCAACAAGAGATTAAAGAAATCCCACAAGAGATCCAATAAATCCCACAAGAGATTCAATAAAATCTAAAAGTTCTTCAATAAATCCTCCAGAGATTCAATAATCCTACAGAGAGCTAATAAATCCTACCAGAACATCAATAAACCCTAAATGATCAATAAATCCTACAAGAGATTCAAGAAATCCTACAGAGATCCAATAAATCCTAAAAGATCAATAAATCCTACAAGAAATTCAAAATCCCAAAAGAGATTCAATAAAATCCAGAAGTTTTTCAATAAATCCTACAAGAAATTCAATAAATTCTAAAAGATCAATAAATCCTTCAAGAGATTCAACAAAAGCTCTGGGATTTGGGGTGAAACTCTGGGATTTGGGGTGAAATTCTGGATTTTGGGGTGAAACTCTGGAGTTTGGGGTGAAACTCTGGATTTTGGGGTGAAATTCCAGATTTTGGGGTGAAATTCCAGATTTTGGGGTGAAACTCTGGGATTTGGGGTGAAACTCTGGGATTTGGGGTGAAACTCTGGAGTTTGGGGTGAAACTCTGGATTTTGGGGTGAAATTCCAGATTTTGGGGTGAAACTCTGGGATTTGGGGTGAAACTCTGGATTTTGGGGTGAAACTCTGGGATTTGGGGTGAAACTCTGGGGTTTGGGGGGAAACTCTGGATTTTGGGGGGAAACTCTGGGATTTGGGGTGAAATTCTGGATTTTGGGGTGAAATTCCAGATTTTGGGGCGATCCTGCCCCCAGATCCATGTGATTCCTGCTCCATCCGAAACTCTGATCCTGGATCCCCAGGATTCCCGATCCATCCCCATCCCAAAATCTGATCGGATCCATGGAATTCCCTGGATCCCTGGGATTCCCGATCCATCCTCATCCCAAAATCTGATCCGGGTCCATGGAATTCCCTGGATCCCCAGGATTCCCGATCCATCCTCATCCCAAAATCTGATTGGATCCATGGAATTCCCTGGATCCCCAGGATTCCCGATCCATCCTCATCCCAAAATCTGATCGGATCCATGGAATTCCCTGGATCCCTGGGATTCCCGATCCATCCCCATCCCAAAATCTGATCCGGATCCATGGAATTCCCTGGATCCCTGGGATTCCCGCTCCTTCCCAAAATCCGATCCCACCCCTGGATTCATCCCATGGGATTCCCGCTCCACCCTCATCCCAAAATCTGATCCCGGATCCGCAGAATTCCCGCTCCATCCCAAAATCTGATCCCGGATCCGCAGAATTCCCACTCCATCCCAAATTCCGATCCCGGATTCCCCGGATCCCGCGGGATTCCATCCCCATCCCAAATTCCGATCCTGGATTCCCCGGATCCCGCGGGATTCCCGCTCCATCCACATCCCAAATTCCAATCCTGGATCCCGCGGAATTCCCACTCCCCCCACATCCCAAATTCCAATCCCGGATTCCCCGGATCCCGCGGAATTCCCGCTCCATCCCCATCCCAAATTCCGATCCCGGATTCCCTGGATCCGCGGGATTCCCACTCCATCCCCATCCCAAATTCCAATCCTGGATCCCGCGGAATTCCCGCTCCATCCCCATCCCAAACCCGGGTCCCGTTCCCGAGGGCTCCTCGAGGCTCCGGCCGGGAAAACATCGGAACCCCCGGGGGAAAATGGGAAAAACGGGATGGAAAAGTCAGAAAATGGGAAAAAGGGATGGAAAAGGCCTGGAAAATGGGAAAAACGGGATGGAAAATGGGAAAAACGGGATGGAAAAGTCAGAAAATGGGAAAAAAGGGATGGAAAAAGCCCAAAAATGGGAAAAAAGGGATGGAAAATGGGAAAAACGGGATGGAAAAGTCAGAAAATGGGAAAAAAGGGGATGGAAAAAGCCCAAAAATGGGAAAAAAGGGATGGAAAAAGTCCAGGAGATGGGAAAAAAGGGATGAAAAATGGGAAAAAAGGGATGGAAAAACCTGGAAAATGGGAAAAAAGGGAATGGAAAAGGCTGGAAAATGGGAAAAAAAGGATGGGAAAAGCTGGAAAATGGGATGGAAAAAGCTCAGAAAATGGGGAAAAAGGGAATGGAAAAACCTGGAAAATGGGAAAAAAGGGATGGAAAATGGGAAAAAAAGGATGGAAAAAGCCCAAAAATGGGAAAAAAGGGATGGAAAAGGCCTGGAAAATGGGAAAAAAGGGATGGAAAAACCTGGAAAATTGGAAAAAAATGATGGAAAAAGTTGGAAAATGGGAAAAAAGGGATGGAAAAAGCTGGAAAATTGTATGGAAAAAGCTCAGAAAATGGGAAAAAAGGGATGGAAAATGGGAAAAAAGGGATGAAAAAACCTGGAAAATTGGAAAAAAATGATGGAAAAACCCCGGAAAATGGGAAAAAATGGGACAGGGGCAGCCATGAGAAGCACAAATTGAGGGCTCAGGTCACGAGGGCGATTTTTTTTTTTGAAATTCTGATTTTTGTTTTTTTTTTTTTTTGGAAAATTTTTTTTTTTTTTTTTTGGAATTTTACAACGCCTTTTTTTTTTTTTTTGTGGTGTTTTTTTTTTTTTTTT